AAAAAAATGAAAATTGAGAGAAAAAAAGTCGAAATAAAATGTTGAGAATAAACTCATTAAATTATGAGAAAAAACTCGTTAAATTTCGAGAAAAAAACTCGTTAAATATCAAGAAAAAAGTCGAGATAAAATGTTGAGAATGAACTCATTAAATTATGAGAAAAAAATGTAAATTGCGAGAAAAAAAGTCGAAATAAAATGTTGAGAATAAACTCATTAAATAACGAGAAAAAACTCGTTACATTTTGAGAAAAAAACTCGTTAAATTTCGAGAAAAAGTCTAAATAAAATGTTGAGAATAAACATAAAATTACGAGAAAAAATTTGTTACATTTCGAGAAAAAAGTCGAGAATTAACACACTCATGTCATGTTCATTTCATCTCGTTGGACGGTGTTATTTAGCGTCTGCAGTGGGGTGGGTCGGAGAGTAATGCATTGGGGAGGAGCGACTGATACGATCAACTGGGTTCGAGTCCATCTTTTGACAAACTCGCTTTTCTTTCTTTTCTCATCAAATATCACATCAGAAAATTGGAAATCAATTGCTTAACGAGTGTTTAATAATAATGTATTAATTAGGTAGGTTTAGTGTTACTACAGTAAATTCATTGTAAATATTATTTTGTGGATTGAAAAGTATTCTAACTGGATTGTTGTCACACGGTGTTTCTCCTGTTTTCCGCGTCAGTGTTGTTGAGAATGGCAGCGCGGTTTCATCTGCCTTTAAACTAGTTTAAATCACTGTGACATCTGTGGTTTGTATCGGAGAGCTCAGCTCCAAACTCAAACGCTTCTCACAGCGCTGTTTAGTGGTCGCCTGATCGAGACCTGCGAGTAAACGCATTTGTTCTGAGCTCGCGCTGCGCTGCCTTTAGACAGCTAAATATGATACGTGCAGCATGCTTCACACGAGTAGCGCTCTTCCGATTTCGATGCGCTAAAGAAATGACAGCGCATACGAGTTATCAAATTGTTGTCACTCACGTTTTACTGATACATCTGGCCTAAAATTTAGTGCTGTCACCTTGTGTTGACATTGTGAAACTGCATGATTTGTAAATTATGATTGGCGGGCCACATATAATAGCCTACATTTTAATAGACAAACCATTAGAAATTAATCCACGGACCATATTTGGCCAGACTTTGGACACCCCTGCCAGTTGCTATTTACAGTTATATGTACTATTTACACTAAGTGACAACAGCAGCATTTTAGATATGTGCTATTTACACTAAGTGAAAATAGCCATTATATTTACATTATGTAAAAGCAGCAGATCTTTGCAATAAGTGTAAATAGTAGCTAATTAGATGCTACTTATAAATAGTGGCAGATACTATTTGCACCTCAGGTTTGTTGTACATTAACAGGATGCAATAATAACATTTATTTTAAATAACAATTATTTTATTTATTGAAATTATTAAATATGCTGCCTTATTGGGACCTAATTAATACATTATTATTAAACACTTACAGACGTGACGTAATGACGCAGCGGCATGCTCGAATTTCCTGCTAAAAACCTACCTGTACCATTCAAATTAGAAAACATTATTATAAGCTCACCGATATGAATCGGGCTAAAGTAAGGCGATAGTTTTGAATACTGGCTGGTTATGTACTTGCTCAAATATTGATTTCGGACAATTTTTAACCAAAAAAAGTTACGGACTGTAGCTTTAAGCAATTGATTTCCACTTTTAAAAGGACGAAAAGCGAGTTTATTCTCAACATTTTATTTCGACATTTCTTTCTCGAAGTTTAACAAATTTTTTCTCGAAATTTAACGACTTTTTTCTCGTAATTTAATGAGTTTATTCTCACCATTTTATTTCGACTTTTTTTCTCGAAATTTAACGGATTTTTTTCTCGAAATGTAATGACTTTTTTCTCGTAATTTAATGAGTTTATTCTGAACATTTTATTTCAACTTTTTTTCTCGAAATTTAACGAGTTTGTTCTCGAAACATAACGAGTTTATTCTCGAAATTTAATGAGTTTAATCTCAAAATTTTATCTCGACTTATTTCTTGAAATTTAACGAGTTTTTTCACAAAATTTAACGACTTTAATCTTGAGATGGTTTTATTTTTTTATTATTGCTTGGCCCTAATCCTCTTCCGTACTTTCTAAACTTCCTTATAACAAGATAAATCTACTTAAGAAGCAGAACGGTAGATATAATTAAATTGAAATCTAAAATCTATAAAAGGTTAACATTAGTGCTGTCTGTCAATCGATTAAAAAATATTAATCAAATTTTTCTGTATTTAATCATGATTAATTGCATATTTATATTGTCATAATTTCATATTGAACCTTCAAATTAATGTAGAAACAACATCGAGACAGTATATTTTAAATATGTTTTTAATGGCATCTTTTTACTAAGTAGTCTATTATTAATGAAGTATTGACTTAAAGTATTGAACTATTAAATTAACATTTAATAGGCTCTGAAATATTAAGTGATTTTAAAA